TGGGGTCTATCACCGGGTTAACTCGTTTGTGTTTTGAATTATGTTTGTTTTTTTCTCATTTAAGTAGTTTTGTGTATATATTTCCACATTGTTGCATGCATCTATGCAACCATCGCGTAATCCCTTTGGACACTGCACCATTCCAAGGGCCGTCACAGAGCCTTTGAGGCCATTTGGGCTCCTTGGGGGGAAAATGTGGGGGATCCCTTCCCTAAATTGTTTGGCAACGTTTTGTCAAGTGATCCTATATGGCGTGAAGCGAAACCACGTCCCAAAAGTCATTCTGGCTTGGGACCCACTTCGCAGAGAGCGGGCCATACGTGGTCAAGTGGTCAGGGCTGATGTCTACTCCAACGGATACAAACACGTCATGTTTGCAAGCATGCCCCAAATTAGCAGGGAATGAATGTTCAGAAGCTCACACAGGCCTTCCCTATGCTTTCAATCCGGCTTTGCTTGGAGGTTCCTTACTTGCCCAAGGCCTGCGCCAGGGTCTTGGATGGCAGGTACACAACCTCCTCGCCCTATGCCTTCCGGAGATTGCTGCCGGCAGCTGAGGGGAAAAAGCGCTCGGGATTTGATGTGCTTGTGAGGCCTGTGGTCCCATGTGCGGCCTAAGATGGTTGACGATACCGACACACGACTCAGCTAAATAAGGTAGATTTGTCCCGGCATTGGCCTAGGGGTATGTGAGACATCCATGCAGCATGGAAGGGGATTAGCTGGATTGGCATTTGAACTTTTGCGCGAATGCCTGTTCAGTTTGATTCTGGCTAATGTACTCTCACCCTTGCACGTAGCTCGACATGTTCCTAGCACAGACCTTTGTGAAATCGTGTGTGTGTGTGTGTTGTGCATTCTTGCTTGCATGCCTTTGGGTGTCTCTACGTGTCCATGCATCTCTTTGCGGACGTTTGTGAGATTGCCAGTGGCTTGTGGTTGATGTTGCCTTGGTTTGGTTTGGTGTGCTTGCGTCTCTGTTTCTTCTTGGGTCCTTTGCAGCTTTGCTGCGTTGTTTCGTTGTGTGTGCGTGTGTGCGTGTGTGTTTGTCTTCTTTGGTCCTCTCTCTTTGTCTCTTTGTGTGTCTTTCTTTCGTTCGTTCGTTCTTTCTTTCTTTCTTTCTTTCTTTCTTTCTTTCTTTCTTTCTTTCTTTCTTTCTTTCTTTCTTTCTTTCTTTCTTTCTTTCTTTCTCTCTCTCTCTCTCTGTTCGAAACAGGTTGCCAAACACATTGGATTGTTGAGGACGCCACGCACGCCAGAAGGGAAGAAGCTGCTTGAGCAGACCATCCTGGAGCCAGTCAAGGAGCGGCGGACATTTTCGGTGCAAGCCACTGGGGCTTAGGGCGCGCAACTCGCCAAGGCAATTGCTTTGGTTCCAACGGCTCAGGATGGCGCTGGGAGAAAGCTCAGGCACCGGCCGAGCTGTTTGAGTCTCAGGCTGCTTTACCTTTTGGGGGCTGTGCATGCAGCCCTCACCAGACCGCGAGCTTGGGTCGCGTGGGCCGCGTGATGTATGAAGAAGGACCTTTTCCTGCGGGTTCCTCAACACAGAGTTCGAAACAAATATCGATTTGGCAAGTGAAGTGGTGGAGAGGTCTGATCAACAGGCTTCATTGGGATGAAGTTGTCGGGCATGCCTTTGCGGCTTGATGCTTCGTCAACTGCCGCAGCTGAAGCGGGGGATGTGTGTCGCATCCGAAGCTGGTCTCCTTGGCAGGCTGCTGACTCTCCTGCAAGGCTCGCTCATCTCAGGAAAAAGCAGGCAGGGCTTGCAAGTGAGTAAATGGTTGGCACTACACTCCCTCAGAACCAGATCTTAAGGGGTCCCGGGAGCTTCCATGCTAGCCTGGCGGGTAATGGCTGCCAGGGTCGGGCCAGGGTCACTGATGCTTCTGAAATATATCCGTTTCCGAGCCAATGTACGCGCCATGAAAAGACTTCACTGCCAAATGCTCGAGCCCAGCGTCCTAAAGCTTCTTTCCACAACCTCTCGGTGGCCTTTAGACAAAATCTACTCCCAGTCTGAGGTAAGCCTTTGGTGGGTTGGGCTTGGACGAGGGTTCGCTCCAGTTGGCCGCCACCCCTCCCGGGTGGGAGGGTCTTTTCGGGGCTTGGGAAATTTTGGCGGCGCAAAAGAGGCTTCCGACCTTTTCTCACCCTCCCACCCAAGAAAGGCGTTGGATGGTTTTTGGAATCATTTGGAAGGAGACCCCCTCCAATTTTTTGGGGCACCCCCTCGCCCATTCTAGAATATGGTCATTTGCGTTGGGTGGAAAAAACCTTGCCCTCCGGTTGGCCTTTTCGTGGTCTTTGTTGAGCTCTTGGGATCAGATTCGCCGCATCCCAAACGGTTCGAGCCCAAGTCGCCCCAGTCCTTCGCCCAGGGCGCAGCAGGCGTCGGCCAAAGAAGCGGCGCGCTTGGCTGGGCGCCCGAGGAGCGCTCGAGGCGATCGCTAGGAATGGAGGGCTTTCGTTTTCTTCCCTCGCTGAACCGGATGGCTGGGAACCACCCAGAAAAGCCATAGAAAGCAGCGATTCTTTGAACGATTGCCGCAACAAACCCCGGAAAAGGGCATCCTTTTATAGGGCACCAAAGTCTATTTACGAACAGGAAATTAGCTTTAGTGAGCCCATTTTTTACCAGAGGACCGTCATGTGCTCGAACCGATTCGGGGAGCTCAGTTTGTCCAGATGGCCCTCCCTTTTCAAGCCCAAGCCCACGGTACTAGCCTCACAAGACGGAATACTTGGCCAACCTGCACATATGTCATAGATACCCATTTAAGCATCTTATCTGCTCGTGCTCAGTAGGGAATGACCGGGGGTTTTGGGAATGAACCTAGGGGTTCCTTAAAGGAACCATGGCAATTTGCAGACGCATCCCCAAGAAGGAATTGCCCCGGATGTTCAATGTGTTGCTCTTTCTTGTGAGAAGTGTCGGCCGGGCAAATGATGAGTTCCCTAAGCTGCACACACTGGCGCAGGATCACTGAACTGGTTGCACTCGGCATGCCTCGTGGTTAACCATCACCCCCGACATGCAATAAGTCGAGCCACTATGACACTCCCCAGGCCAGAAGGTGACCTGGTAACATCGCTATAGCCCCTGTGTCCGTCAGGAAGTGGCAGGCTCTCACATCAAAGCTTGTCTGTGAGCCAAGCTGAATTCAGCCTGGTTTGGCGTGGGCACTGCCCTTTGGGGCCCCTCTGAAAAGTGTTTACAAGGAACCGGACAGCACATTGAAAACAAAACCTGGCGAGCAACCCGGGCAACAGAATCCGCCCAGGTCCCAGTGTGAATTTCGGAGCCCAGTTCGAATGGTTCGAATGGTGAAGCCTAGGCCACGAAGACCGTCGCCGAGGCCGTTTTCGCGGAACCGACGGGTCTTGAGACCAAAAGTGTGGGACACATCGGCATGGACCAAGTGGCACGACGTGGGAGGACAACGTCCCAGTGAGGGTAAGAGGGAGAAGCATCCAATGCATATGCCTGGCAAGCTCGCCTTGGTGTTCTAGACTTGGAGATCGGTATTTCAGGTCGTTGGATTCATCATGCTGGAAATGTGAGATGTCTTGGTGGCGCAAACCACTGCGTTCAACCCAAGTTGCAAATGTGCCACCCTTACATGCAGTGCCTTGCGCTTTAAGAAACCGGGCTTTGTTCAAGCATGGATGGCACTGCATCTAGTTGCATGTGGCTCAAATTTCAAGAGCTAGAGTTTGGCAGCTGGAATTTGTCTCTAGTTTCTTGGATGGCTTTTTGCGCCATTGTTTGAGCCACAGCCATATTTGGAAACCCTGTTTGTTTGTTTATTTGCGTTTTGTTTGCTTTTCTTTTTTCCTTTCTTTGGGTGGGGTTGGGGGGGGACGCTGGAGGGAGAGGGGGAGGGGGGGGGGGGGGGGCGGGAGGGGGTTCCCCAAAGAACGACAGACCTGTGTATGAATGAGTGAGCCAAAAACAAGTGCAGCCCATCGAATTCACAAGCGCCATACCATAGGTTCTGCTGGCAGCCGAAGGCGAAGAACTCCGTGAGATTCTGGCCGCTCGCAACCAGTTCGGCGGATTCCAGCGGTTTGGGGGGTGTTTTTGTTTGAGTTGAACCCCCTTTTGAGGTGGTTTTTGGAGAAGGGAAACCAAAAGGAAAACGTGCCATAAGTACCAAATTGTGCGCCTTTCTTGGTGGTTTTTGGAGAAGGGAAACCAAAAGGAAAACGTGCCATAAGTACCAAATTGTGCGCCTTTCTTGGTGGTTTTTGGAGAAGGGAAACCAAAAGGAAAACGTGCCATAAGTACCAAATTGTGCGCCTTTCTTGGTGGTTTTTGGAGAAGGGAAACCAAAAGGAAAACGTGCCATAAGTACCAAATTGTGCGCCTTTCTTGGTGGTTTTTGGAGAAGGGAAACCAAAAGGAAAACGTGCCATAAGTACCAAATTGTGCGCCTTTCTTGGTGGTTTTTGAGAAGGGAAACCAAAAGGAAAACGTGCCATAAGTACCAAATTGTTTCTTGGTGGTTTTTGGAGAAGGGAAACCAAAAGGAAAACGTGCCATAAGTACCAAATTGTGCGCCTTTCGGTTTTTTGGAGAAGGGAAACCAAAAGGAAAACGTGCCATAAGTACCGCCTTTCTTTGGGACCAAAAGGAAAACCCATAAGTACCAAATTGTGCGCCTTTCTTGGTTTTTTGAAAACATAAGTACCAAAATTGTGCGCCTTAAGTCAAATTGTGGTGGTTTTTGGAGAAGGGAAACCAAAAGGAAAACGTGCCATAAGTACCAAATTGTGCGCCTTTCTTGGTGGTTTTTGGAGAAGGGAAACCAAAAGGAAAACGTGCCATAAGTACCAAATTGTGCGCCTTTCTTGGTGGTTTTTGGAGAAGGGAAACCAAAAGGAAAACGTGCCATAAGTACCAAATTGTGCGCCTTTCTTTGTGGTTTTTGGAGAACGGAAGCCAAAAGGAAAACGTGCCATAAGTACCAAATTGTGCGCCTTTCTTGGTGGTTTTTGGAGAAGGGAAGCCAAAAGGAAAACGTGCCATAAGTACCAAATTGTGCGCCTTTCTTGGTGGTTTTTGGAGAAGGGAAGCCAAAAAAAAAGCCGCCGGTTTTTGTTGGGATTAAATCAAGGGGTGTTTTCAGCTACCCCTAGGCGATTCGTAGGGCTTACCAGGTACCGAGCAGCCTGGGAGCGCCACATGCGAGGCTTGATGCTTTCAAGCGGGGTTTCTGCGACTTGGATGTATGAATCACATGTTTTGCAGATTAATTTAGGTACCTCATGTGAACACACACACACACACATATATGCGCAGGCACGTGCCTGCATGCATACATGCATATACACATGCAATAGCATGCTGTGCTTCACACTGCATTGCACTAGGTGTCAATGCATTGCATGTCATTGGTGGCATGTCCTTGGTATATAGGTGCGTTCTTAGAAGGATGGGGCCGCCAAACGAAGACGGTACCTTGGTGGTGACGTAAGCATTCCGGCGGGGTGCGAAGGCGCAGTGGCATTTTTCATCGCTGCTTTTCTTTGCTGGCTCGCGGAGTCTCCGCTGCCAAATATATGATGCCTCGCGCCTTAAGCAGCTCAAGCCGTGTAAACGCCCAGACCATCGCAAAAGAGTAACCCCGCAGCTACAGCACGTGTGATGAGACCGTGTCCGTGCGCGTGCACTGCGTGTTTCTTTTGATACACACGTTTCTCACTAAATGCAGCCCTGAGTGCATTAAATATTTTCTTGATGGCAAAAAAGTGTTTTTGATTGCTAAAAAATGTTTTCTTTTGATTGTTAAATGAAGTTTTTTTGATATCCTTCCCATCAAAAGAATGGTTATATGAACTGATAAACACTGATGGTTGCATAAACCCCATCATTGCTTTAATGGTCGTAACTGGACCCGAGAGGCAACCCCTTGGTTTGGGTTCACAGCTTGTCTGTCGGTTTTGCGGGAGCTTCTCAAATCAGGCTCCGAGGCTTTGCGCACTGAGAATCCCGGAGAAAAACAAGTATCACCGCTGCTTTGTTCACACTGCAAGAAATGCCGAATCGCAGACGCTTGGATTCGGAGCTGATTCGCTAAGGCGTCTCTGGACAGCACGGAGCTGGTGGAGGCGCGATGAAGCATTGTTGTCTCGGGTTGGCTGAGAACATGTGAATGGACGCACCGTTCAGAAACCCTAAACTCATTCGTCTAGCGGTGCGAAATGGATTTCGCAACCATGCACAGTATTGGTCGCGATTTGGCTTCCATTTGCCAAAGTAATCACCACTGGAGATATGTTTATTTTTCCATGGGGCTTAAGCACATGGAAGTTAAGTTTAAGGTTGAGAACATATTGGCTCAGGTAGCCCTTAGTTGGTGGTTTGACTTGGTTGCTTTTGGGAATTGGAAGCACTGCTTCTTTCGTGGCCACAGCTGACTTTGGGAATTGCAATGGATGGCAAAGAGGTCTTGAGTCCCTGAGTTTATGTTTAGTCCGCGGTGTAAGACACGCAGACCACAGAGAAACGCACAACCGCTCACAAACACCTGAAATCAATACAATTTTACCACCAGCTCATGCACAATCACGGCATCCCTTGACGATTTCCACGACATGTTTCAAGCCTCTCGAGGTTGTTTTGCTTTGCCATTCGAGCGTTGTGTCAACTTCTGGGCTGCTTTGAGGACGCAAAGCTTCCTCCCCAATACTTCAATCAAAGACCGAGAGCTGACTTGCTGGTTTTGGGGTAGGCAAGACACAGATCCCTATGAACCATCAGTGGTTTCCTTTGAGGGTAACCCCTCGGTTCTAGCCGAACCATGCCAAACCCCCCATCGGATCAGAATATGTTGATTCCCCACCGAGAACCAGCAAGGACTTCTGAAGAGGTTGCCTCCAGGACCTCGCTAGCAAGGGGGCAGCGCCCTTTCGCCGTGCGGCGCTCTCTGCTGCGGCCTCGGAGGGCTCAGCAAGCCTCCGTAGCTGCCACCGGTTTGCGTAGCCCTTGGCTAAACCTGGCCTGCTGGGTTTCAGTGTTATTTGTTGTTTTTGGTGCGTTTGTCTTTAGCTGCGAGCCAGGGGAAAACATTTGTGGAGCCGTGCTGTTCCTGACCCGCCGCTGGGTCAACTTTTTTGTGACCGGTTTCATCCCCCCCTCATTGTGCTCCGGACTAGTCAACCTTTCCAAGGGCTCATTGTCCAATCCCCAAAAAACATCTCCAGGCCCTACATGCACATTGGCTTGGGCGCTTAGGGCTGCACACCCACTCAGAGATATAGGCAAAGTCCGTGTGTGTGTGTGTGCACCCGCGAGAAACCTTCACACATCAATCACTGAAGGTCGTGCGTAACCAGGCATGACCCATTCATGACAAAAGGCAAGCATGTGTCTGTGTGTGTGACATCGCTTGGGGTCACGCCACTCTGACCGTAGTTTTGCCAGCTCCTGCAGCAAGCACTGGAACGGCATGCTTTTTCAAAGAAGGGAGGGATGTGGCTTCAGGATAACAATCCTAGCACTTTGAAGTGTTACTGCAAGTCACCATCCCGCATCCCGGACCCAGGCTGCACTGGGCCGCATGCGGCCAACATCTGACAGGCAGGGTCCAGGGCTGTGTCCGGATCTTTTTGGCATGTGCTAAGCTTGGCTGAACTGCCATTTTGCTATAAGCCAGTACCCCAGGCACCCTTCCCTTTACAGTTTCCGTTTTTGTGTCACAAAGGAGAAAAAAGGGAGCCTTCGCTTTTCCCGGAACTTAGGTCCTCCATAGCGAGCCCCATTGTCAGAACTGACATAACCTGGCCAACACATGGGGTTTTGGGGGGGGGGGGGGGGTTGCGGATGGAAGCCATGGCAGAAAGGAGAAGCTCGCCGTGCAGGCAGCACCGACGCCAGCTCCGGCGCATGATGCGCCGGCACCTCTCCCGCGCGGCGCAGCGCAGGTGCGGGGGCCGGGGCTGGGGAGAGGACATAGCTGGGATCATACGTGTAAAAAGTGAGTCATGACGAGAATCGCCCTTCATATTGTTCCGACAGCATACGGAGATGTGTTGCTCAAAATTGGCGTTGCTCAAGATTAGGGGGAATCCCCTGCAGATGGCTCATGTGCTTGGATTCCCCTTTCAAGCCTTCAATGCAGCTTACAGAGATCCCCGATTTTTGGGACCCCCCTTCATGTGCATGTCCCAAACTAGGGTGCAGTACCTTCCCAACAGCTATCTGTCAGAACAAGTCAGAGCCCATGTTTGGCAAGCTTCAGAGGAACCGTAGCCATCTCTAAATGGGTCTGCCCTGCCCCATGAAGATTGCTACCTAGAGGGATGTTTCACAAGAGATGGGGCGTTTGATAAGCTATCAGCAGAGCTTGCGTCACATGACTTCTGTGATTTGTGTTGTTTGCTCCGGAATTGCCCAAAAATGATGGTAATCAGGGTGCCCTTTGCTCTCCACTTTTGTTCGGTGTGGCTGTTGCATTTTGGGCGCGGCAGACGTCAAACGCATGCCTAGCCCTCTATCACATGTCAGCCAGGGTCTAGCCCGTGTCGAATGACTGCCTTCCAAATGGCGCTCAAACGGCACTCGGGAAAAGCCGGCTCAGCGCCAATGTCGGCACAGGGCTTTCAAGTTGACTCTGCGACTGCGACATCTGCTAGGAGCTGATGTGGCACGCTTCTGCAAGGAGCAAGGCAGTTGGCAAGTTTTGCCCAATAGATCATGGCATCGGCTGTTTTGGGCATCTTCCCAAGGCAGCGGAAGCATCAGAGTCATCCTCGCCCGTCCTTCCTTGCAAATCGACCTGCCCAACATGCACTCACAGGCAACCTCACCGTGGTGGACCCGCAAAACAGCGGCTAGAGAGCTTTTCCATCCATAGTTCCTTCATTTGGCTGTGGCTCAAAAAACCGGTACCAAAATGGAACCCTGGTAAGCGGAAACATGGACCAACACCTGCGCAACCCCTCCTGTTTAATTGTGAGCCACACCCATTTCGGTGAAGCTTTTGGCACTGGAGAAATCGACTCCTCACTCGCCAGGCCGCTTCTGGTGGCGAAACTGCTGCTGCAGCTGCTGCGGCGCGGTGCTTGGCTGTGCACTTCATGTCACCCCCCCAGCCTTTGCAATCATTTGTGGCAACCTCTGCTCAGTGAAATCACATATATACTGTTCAGTAGGGGCTGGCGTTTCGGCTAGATTTTTGTCTGGAACCCCTGGCGTAATCCACGGACCTACATGATTCTGCTGGTATGTGTCAAGATAGGAGCCCCCTCCAAATGGTGGAGAGTTGCTTTGCGATCCTTTTGGAGCGCATCCTATGGTTTTGGTTTTGCGCCGCTCCTTTCAGCAGGCAGAAGCCCAGGGGTGCAGCACGGTTTGTCACAAGGCGCCTTGAGGGACTCGGCCAGGCCAAAGTTTTGGCTTATCCTCCCACCCAGCGTGGCTTGGAAATGTGCCTCAAGAACTCAACGTAGCTGGGCCCATTGCTCAGGACTGACCATTGCAGTGCAGCCTAAAGCGCCAATCCGCAAGCGAAACTTTCGAGACGAGTCTTTCTGGTTCAGGGCTTCGGCAAGGATCCCAGGTTTGGGGGGTGCCTTTGCCAGTCGCCTTGTGAAGCACCTCCCGAACTTAGAGGTGTTTCGGCCCAGGATCTTTAGGGCAAGAAATGGTAAACCCGAGTGAAAAGCCGAGTTTGTTTTTTTCACTTTCCCATTGCTTGAGGGCCGGGCAGTTCATGCGGCTCGCTTGGCCACTGAGGGCGCTTTTGCCCTGATGCGCGTCGGATCATGAGGGGCCAACATGGCCGAATTCTTGAGGCGTCTTGCCCAAAAAGGGCGTGCCTTCGAATAGAAAAAAGCGGCGCTTTGGTCGGATCTCAGCAAAGCAGGTTGTGCGTTGCTTGCTTGGTGGTGGTCATTGGGTCCGCTGTTTTGGGCGTGGGGGCTGTCAAAGCCACAAAGCCCGCTTTCCAACTTGACTATTGTCGAGGGGCGACTTTGAGTGAGCTAACTTCCCAGTTTAGGCGCCTGATGATTTCCATGTTTTCAGGCCCCTGGTGCAACTTTCGGTCAGTTTGGTCAACATAGATGTCACGGGTTTCAGCCTGGCTGAATCCAAAGGGTGACATCCATCTTGCACAAAAAAACACCTGAAATGTCCGCCTCCGCTGTTTCCTTGGGCCCGCGCTCATGTGCGAGGTTCTTTTGTTGCGTGGCAGCCTTTTCTTGTGGGGCGGCTTCGAAGAGCTTCCGAACTGCAGCCAAGGGCTTGAAGTTTGATTCGCCTTGCGGGTCTGCGGGTACTGTGCCGTCCTCAGCAAGCATGGTCCCGTTGAGGCAGTGGGGCATTTACTTGGCTGCCCCTGTAGGATGCTAAAAGGGTACGAAAAGGCTACTAAAAAAGGAACGAACAAGGAGTAGAACAGGGGGAATCCACGAAAGGCGCCTTCAAACCGTGTCTAAATCAACAAAGTATCCCCAAATTGGATGGTAATTTGGGTATTGAGCTGGAGTTTCAGCTCGCCAGCCCGTTAGCCAGCTGGTCAGCCAGTTAGCTACTGGGCTCCTGTAGCTGGCAATATAATCCGTAGCAAAAGCCAGATAAATGTTTGGTGGGCAAGTCAGGTAAGGATGCAGTCTCTCACGGACAGCTCATGAAGAGACCCTGCAAAAGCACCAGCAGCCAGCTGCAAGAAGGGGGGGGTTCCGAGTTGCAACCTAAGCAATCTGGGCCAGCAACACTACTGCATTGCAGGGTGCATTTGCTGAAGGGTGGGAGCAGATTGGCTTTTCGAGAGGGTCCGCTGTTGAAGGCTGCGAAGCTGTGCCCCCGCTCCAAGATCCAGGCGTTGCAACCCAGATTGTCCACAGTTGCCGCGGAACCAACCTGCACAACGCCATCCTTTGCACTCTCGCAAGGCAACGTTTGGTTCATGCTTTCGCTTTAACGCATGAGGCTGGCATCGCTCCGCCGTGCGCATGCCAGCGTGTTTCACTTTATGCGCTCTGCGCATCGCTTCAGCGAGTCGCGGAGCGCGATTGCAAGGCTGGGATCCCTTGATTCAGGTTTTGGGAGTGCTTGAGATAGACCGTCAGATGCGTGGCACCCAAAACAAGCCTGCCGCGCGGCATGCCACTGAAAAGGTCCCCCAATGGCTGCAACGCCTTTTTCACAACGGTTTCAGGAGTGACTTGTGAATTGCACTCCTGGGAAGCCCCCAGAAGTCTGACAGTTGAAGGGTCCTGCCACAGTCGGGACACCCGCCTTTGTTCAACCAGGCGTCCTTAAGCCCGGGTTAATGCGAACCGTCCGCAGTCCTGATTCCAACAAATCGCCACCGTAGAAGTCAGCCTGCATGCAAGATCCAAGATTGGTGCAGCTTGGGGTACACGAGCTCACTAGGCGTCCTAAGGTCCAAACTTTGCGCAGTGAGTGGCTGTTTTGGATTACTTCAGGGTGCAGCCGATTTTTTTTGAAGATGGAGCCGTGGCGCTGAGGTCGCGACCTTCGGGCATGTCCCTACAATGGCCCAGCGCTCAAACTGGAAGCTGTGGAGAAGCTTCTGACCTTCTTGCCACTCGTTTTCGGCTGGTTTGGGCAATTTAGGGGAGATTTAGGAGATGTTCCTGATCTTCTCTAGAAAAGAGGGAGAAAAAAGGAAGGGGGAACACGCCCCAGTGCCATCTTGGCGAGGCTGTGCGGGACACCATTGAAATCATCGCGGGGAGCCGAGCTCTGCTGAGAGAGGTCAACAGGGACAGGGTGGTCCTTTGTACCCTGCTCTGGCAATCAACCATCTTTTGGGGGGAGGTTGGTAGGCGAGCCCGATTGGGCTCCGTTGAGTTGCGAGCGGGAACGTAGCGATTAAGCGATTGCCTTCCCAGGCACCAAAAGGTCCTGAAGTTTAGTGTGTAGGCTTGGGTAGGGTGGGTTTAGGCTGTGTTTTGGGGTTAGTTTCGGGCTGGTTTATGGGTTGAGGGTGGGTGTAGGTCAGGTTTAGGGCTTTGGGCGTTTTTTGGGCTGGTATAGGGTTGGTTTAGATCCGGTTTGGTTGGTGACGCGCTGGTTTAAGATTGATTTGGGGTCCGATCTAGAGTGAGTTGCAAACAGCTGTGAACATGGGTTGCCTCTCTTTTTCTTTTCGCCGGCTCTGGTTGGGCAGCCGGATGTCCGGATGCCCGGATCGCGGCAAACAGCCGTTTGTCTCGGAACCTAGCCCCCGCCATCCAGCCATCTGGCCAGTGGCAAAGCCTGTGTGTTTCGCCAGGGATCAACGGCATCCTTTCTGCCTGAAATCACAATTCACCCAGGCGGTGGGAAGGTCCTGGCGTTTTCGCCGTGAGCTGAGGATGGCGTGCACTCGGGCACGACCCGCCTATCTCTGAAGACGCAGCCCAGCCCTTGGAGTTGAGAAGGGGCCAAAAGCGGGGTCTGCGAGCGTTGAATTTCTGTCAGTTCCTTTCAAAGTGGATGTTGTTTGCACCAGTGAAAGAACTCTGTTTTGTTTGACACAGGGGCGCTTTCAGAACCTTATCCTGGACTTGTATTTTTTGTTGTTGGTGAAGCCCCCAGATTCCTGCGAGGGCCCATGAACCTAGGGCATGAGAAGGTCGAAAACGGGAGCGCAGAACTCTTCGAGCCCGGTATCAATTTCTTGCTGCGCTTGAATCCGAAGCTAGCAATCAAACAAGATACTCCTTCGATTCGGTTCATCAAAATGTTGCTACTTCCGCTTGCGGCAGCCCTTGCGCGGGCGCCACAAATTGCGAAAGCGGGGCTCCGCAGTTTAGAGAGGCAGGTTTGGGGGTTTGGGGGAGCCGGAGCATGCAGGGTTTGGACGCTCACAAACTATATATGTACAGACGCATAAGCATACAGACCTACATACCTCCCTACACACATGCATACATACATACATACATGCACATCTTATACAATTGTTGATAGCTGATATGTGTGTTTCCTTTTGTTCATCCCTCCTCGTTGCTGTACTTACAGTTTGTCGCAGTGTTTGTTCAATTACCAACGTGCACATGGGCAAAGCCAGCTAAGCAGTGCCTTGAAGGCCCAATGGGGGGCTCTCGAATTTTGCACAACACATCAGGAGTGTTTGCTTCTCGCGCCTTGGTCATCTTTGTTGCTAGTTGCAAACTACCACCTTTTGATCTTGTCAAGTTGGGCCTGCTTTATGCAAAGTGGGCTTGACAACTCTGGTGAAAAACGCACTCGGGTGCGGAGACCATGTTTTTGCAATTGGCAGCCAGACAACGTTGGGTTGGAGCGGTGGGAGCCCATGTTACTTTTACGATCTGGATCCGTGATTCGCCTGAGATAGTGAATATTTGCAGCATGAACTCTGGAACCCAGGGCCTGGTCACGACTTCTGACATTCAGTCCACAAGTGTAATGTACCCTGGTGCAGCACGATACCCTACCTGTCAAAGCCCACGGCCTAGCAAGGCGGATGCCAATGGCCCAGAGTTCCGGTTCAAGTTGTGTTTCAGACGGTGCACCTGTCCATCAAACCTTTGCATGTTGCCAAGGGATGTTCGGACTGAAAAACTCTTTGCCATCTAAATGGGTTTTCCGCATTAAACCACTAAAAGTTATTCACTTTTAGCAGGGGTGCAGAAAGCAACCGAGAAACAGGTATCCCTATGTATCTCGTTTTCCTTTGGGATTTCAGGGGGCCAAATGGTAGGCCCCAAAAACCCCTTGCCAGTCAGGTTCCAATTCCTTTGTCGTGCATGCCGAACCGCCGCCCGTGAGGCTAGAGCGGTTCGGAGAGATTGACATTTGCCACAAGATCGGAGACCCGCGGGAGGACAGAAGCTCGGGGCTCCTGTGCAAAGGTCACTTTGAGCTGCCTAAGGTGTTCTTGTGTCGTTGTTTTGTGGTGGGAGCATGGTCATGCCCGGGAATGGTTTTACGCAAGTGAGTGAGACGGAAGAAAAATGGGAGATTACTTTTTTGTGTAACCTGGGTGAGTTGCCTCGGCACGCACATGAGAAGATCCTTGGGATGTCCAATGCCCAGCATTCTGATTGACTCTACGCCTGCAACAGGCGCTCTTACCTGCGATATGGGGCGCGGGTAAATCCCAACCGTGAAAATTCATTCTCCAGAAGGGTGAGGTAGCGTGGACAAGACAATACCAATGCGAACAGACTTGCATAGCCGCCAAATGGCGCGGCTTCCATTTCGATGACTGGCTTCGCTTGGATTCTGGTCGCTTTGCCAGTCGGGGCAAAGCAACACCTGTCACAGCGAGTCAGAGGAATCATGGTCGTCCACTATTTCAGGACCTCAGCAATACTTGCCGTGTGTTTGGTTGGTTGGTTGGTTGGTTGGTTGGTTGGTTGGTTGGTTGGTTGGTTGGTTGGTTGGTTGGTTGGTTGGTTGGTTGGTTTGCTTGTGATTTTCAAGACGTCATTGGACTCCCCGGTTAATAAGGCGCCGCCATGAGGGCTTCTCTAGGGGCTAAGGCTTCCGTTGGCTCCGTCCGATTCCATCCTACGAAAACACCAAGCGAAGCCCTTGAAGGAAGCTCCTGTTCGCTGGTTCTCAGTCGCGGGAACGGCTTTGAACTATCATATGGTTTCCCGTAGGGACCCACCGGTTTCCCACAACCCTGTTGATTCTCTCAGAACCAGCGGTTCTGTTCCGCCTGCGCATGGAATCGCTTGATGCATTGCCAAACCCAAGCCATTCGCCAATGAGTTTCCTGGAGTTCCATCAAGGGGTTTCCGATTTGGCTGACTGTCCATGGTGAGGATACTCCGTGGGTGCGCTTCCGCCACTCGGCGTGTTTTTTTTTTTTTCTGGGGGGGGCGGGGGGGGGCATGTTTGCGAATCGGAATCGCATAGCCAAAGTGGGGAACTCATCCTTTGTTGGAGGGTACATATAATTACATAGTTTGGGTGGGAGGTCCCTAAAAAAGCAAACGCCTGGGCCCCTGGGTCGCGGAGCTAATTCGCTGAATGGTTGGCAACTGGCACAAAGGATTACTTTGGCAGGATCCGACGCTACAAGGTTGGACCTTGGCATGGTTGTTTTCGTCCAGGTTTGTTAGCTCTGAACGATGACTTCTCAAGCGGCATGCGACAAAAACCTTGTTTCTCTTGCCAACTTACCGAGTGGTAAGTTGGCGAGCTTTCGCCAGGCTTCCATTTGCAAGCTGCGCCTTTTCAGACAGGCAAAAACTATTGGGAAAACCTCGAAGCTTTGGGCCTCGAAGTGAATCGCCTGGTGCCAATATGTGCCGATCCACTCGACCCTGCTGAAAGCTTTTCCCCGGAAGGCGACCGGCGCGGTTTCCCGGCAAGTTGGGCCCATAGGAGCCAAGGGGACAAGGCGACCCGGTTTGGGTCCCGACGGATTGCTCCTTTTCAGGCAAGCAACTAGCGCTAACACAAACACTTGTAGGCGTTCCTATGCCACAAGTCCATGTATTTGCATATTTTATAGCAAGCTCGCCTGGGGTCAGAACGAGCTCACCATGATAAAGGTCCTTTACTTGGGGATCCGATTTTTAGCTCAGCTTTTGGAATAGCAAAATTTACAAATGTCCATTTGTCCTTCAAACAACACATGGAATTGGGTGACCTGAGCCCCTCACTCGAACTGAACGCCATGTTCCCTTGAGAGGTGACTCCAAAGGCGCGCTTTCAGCTCTAGATGCGATCGCCTGGAGCCCGGAAAATCCTCCAGTGCGCCTGTTATGCCAAGCTCCGTGGCAAAGCCGCCTCTACGAGCCTCTAGGTTGCATGCTCCCTGGGGCAAGTTTGCAGCAGTGGAAGCCCGCTTGGATTAGTCACAGCATTTGCCGGCCATTTGGGAGAACAAAGTCCCGACCGGCAAGAGTCATCTCAAGAGGCCGTCTTAAGTCGCAAGCGCTTTGACATGGGGCTATTGGGCCCACACAGGGTGTTGGACGGGAAACGGCCTTGGAGAGCAGTGCCGGGGCCTAGGCAAGGGGTGAGGTGCTCATCGATGGCGTGCGGGCCTTGGATTCGGAGCGATGCTGCGCAACCAGGCAACGCATGGCTGTTCCAAACTCCGCTCGCCCCTCAAAGCCCGAGGTTCAGTTGTTGCTGCCCTTAGCCCCTCAACCCCTCCAAAAGACGTATCCAAAAACTTTGTGCGTGGCTTTGTCCAATTGGTCCAGGGGGACATCCCGACATCGCGCCTCGAACTTGTGAGGTGCCAATCAAGGCACAGTCCGCGCCTCAGATGGGCGACAGGGACCGCTGGGGCGAGCGCCTCGTTCCGGGGAATGGCGAAGCCCATGGCACTCGAGGTTTGATGTTCTTTTTTTTTATCATCGCTTGATGTTGCTCTTGGCCATGACAAGTGAGCAGCTTCCAGTGAAAAAGAAGCGAGAGCGCCTGCGGCTGAGGTGGCGGGCCCGGAGGAAGGAGCCGCCGGGGTTCAAGTCGGGCGCGCGCCGCGCCGGCGGGCTTGTTTTTTTTTGTTTTTTCGCCGCAGACGAGGGTTTTACCCCCATACCCCCCGCAAAGGATGTTGGTTTGAGAGGGCTAGGGGGTCAACATGGTGAAGGAAAAAGGAATCAGTGGGCATAGTGGGCATGAGGGTGTTTCAACCCCTCGCAGTTTTCCTTGAGCAGCGTACAGGTCTTTTGGGCTCGCCCGAAGTGCCAGGCACCAGCCGCGACATCTATTTGGAGCAGCACCTCGGAGAGAGAGAACCCCTTTAAAACATCCCTTGTCGCTTCCTTTAACGGAAGGCCTGCATTCATTCCATTCCCGAAATCACCAGAAAGAACGGAGCTCCTTAAAAGATACGCTTTGCCCGTTTGAAACATGTGTTTTTTCCACCAAAATATGGAAACCACCATCTACAAGGCAATGTTCAGGTGTATAATGTAAGGATCCCCTGAAGAAAAGGCAAACTGTTCAACCATCTGCAGAACTGCACACCCATTGCTGTATCCGTAACTGCGGCAGAGATTTGAAAAGTTGATGGCAGGTCCTCCATTTGAAGAATCAAAAATTGCAATTTGAGTCATTATCCTTTTCACAGGACGTGGTTGCCGCGAAGGGAAGAACCCAAGTTTCCTCCAGAGCTTGTACACCCCAGCAGGACTTTTCTCGGCCATTCTTGGTTGGTGTTTTTGATTGATCCGATGTCACCAAATGCAGTGAGAAGGGGAAAGCAGGGTGAGCTTGCATTATTGAAGTCAACTCTTGGTCGAACCTAATGTCCATCGTGACTTGCCAAGAGCTATGCCGATGACTTGGAACGCATATTTCGTTGTGGCTCAAGCAGACAGAAGCATGCCGAGTGACGATGTTTCACGGCATCTGAGTTGTCTGAAGCAAGACGAAGCGAGATTTTTGCGGCTTCCATTCCATTTTACATCACAGGGTATCCAGGGTGAAGGAGCAGCCCCCCACATCTTTCTCCATGAGTCCAGAGGCGCTTCCATTGTAGGGCCAGCTTTCAGTTCTCCCGTTTGGTTCGAATGCTTCCAGGCAGCAGGCGCGGGGCAGGCGCGTCTGTGGGGGAGGTCCCAGGCCTTTCGGATTTTATCAACGTGGTTCTTGCTCACGTCCAGATCGTTTGGGGGCATCTTTGGACAAGTCAAAAACCACCCAAAGAGGGCACCAAACCAGAATGGCTTCACTGGTTTGTTCGCTTGTCTTGGCTTCTGATTGCGGGTCTTTATCCTGAGCCGTGCATGACAAATCGGGTCGGAGTTTGCGGGCACGTGCCAACACAAGTGAATCGCACACAGGAGGCCTATTTTCCGCGAGCGGTAGGCATCTGAAATTCCCTCGACATGTTCCATTCAACATCCTCGCGCTCTGAGATGCAATATGGGTATGGTTCAAAACTAAACCACCAAGAAACACGCAGGTTGTGGTCCGTGCTTCCACTTCCCAGGGCAAGCCATTTTGGGCACATATTTTTCACCCAGGGCCATGTTGCTTCTATTCCAGGGGGGCCGGTAGCGGCTGCGTGTGCGTGGGCGGATAAACCAGAAGTCTGTCTAGCTGTCTACCTCACATCATGGGATCGAAAACAATGCTCGGCCATATGGCGGTGCAGAAGTTAATCGAGTTCCCGTCCCTTATGGTCTTGCAGGTCCTTTTTTTGGATCCAAAGTAGCGGATTGATTGGAACCCACCGAACATTTGCTGTTCAAAAATGTTCAAAATGTACTTGCCCCGTCGTGGTTTTGTGGTTTCGGAGTACATTGTGGAATCACTGCAGCTGCAGGAATACGGCAAAAATGGTGGTTGCTATCATTGGACCCCACGAAAAGTATGCAGCAGTTGGCTTCAAACATCACCAAAGAGGTCCCTCATTCTCGCTCGAGTCTCTGGCAGGACTTGGGTTTGTCTTCAGCGGTTGGCCCTCATTTTCTCTTGGGAAGCCAAAAACAAACTCCTTGGAATTTGACCATGGGGCAGGTTCTAAAGTTGGATAGCGATGAAATTGGGGGGGGGGGTCTTGGAAAAGGATGCTTCACAGGTGCGCAATGTGTCTCAACAAGATAGGTCCTTCAAATGCGTGGACGTGCTACGGATTGATTTTGTGGATTGATTTGCTTGCATTTGAGCGTGCTCAAGAAAAGCATGGGGTCCGCGCATGGCAGATAGCGATGGCGGGCAGCGTTACTTGGATGCAAGCGAGTGTCCATTGGGATAGAAGCTTTCCCTTTCAGCGCCAAGGTGGGAGGGCCGTGAAAGAGCCTATCTGAGACCCCAAAGCTTTCAGCTGTTGGGGAAAAAGCAAAGGCTTGGCACTGCAAAGAGCAAGGCGTGTTTCGGGGTCGGTGTCGAGTGCCCCTTTTCCAGGGCGCCGCCGCTCACGAGTCTGAGCATGACTTGGATGCCGACAGCGCTGCTACAAGTAGGCCAGGGCTTTTGTTTCCGCGGCTACTTGGGTGGTAAGCCAGGAATGTGGTAGGGCGTTTGGTGGAGATGTTGTGGATGGACAAAATCCTGCACCACCTCAAATGCACTGGAATGATGATTCCCCTAAATGCCAACAAACCATGGTTTCATTTCCGTGGTGCGGTTTCGGATTTCGCAACCGTCCACGGTACCCCACGCATCTGCGAGGTTGTGAAACAGATGGGCTGGTCGACATTTGCTTATGCTGCTTCGTGATTTTTCAGAACGCCGTTCAGTGACCTTACTAACGCGTGTTTTTGGTAGTTTTCCCCAGGTTGACTCCGGCCAGTATTCGGGCCAGCTGTGTTTTCATTCTAGTGTGACTCCTGCTGAAGAGTCCTACCAGTCAGGGGTAGGCAACTGGTCTTTCATGTTCTTTACAGGAGCCTTTGGTGGTTGAACAAACCCGGAAGGGCCTTCTCCCACTGGCCCAAAAGATCAGCTCAGGACATGCCTCGGAACTCTTTCGGGGCCCCGAAACTGTCTGATTTCGCCCAAGCGAGTGCTCTAGCTTCCTGAGCTCGAGAGCTGGGGGTGAAAGCCACGGGCGGGGACAAGGGCTGGGCAAAGGAGTTACTCGCATTTGGCTTGGGACACCTGCCAAAGTAAAAGGAAGAGGAGCCTGGTTGAAGTGAACATCTACTCCGCAAAGACCAACCTATTTTCTGAAAACGGCACTTGCTTTTTGGCTTTCAATTTGGAATACTAAAGCCCAGCCTTCATTTTGAGCATTTAGTAGCAGCGGCATACTCCACACAGACCATCCCCACTCCAGAAATTAGACTTGGCAGAACAGTTTGCCCCTGCCCTTAAAGCGGAGAGAGGGGGGAGGGCTAGAAAGGGACCAACATGGGTGTACCCCCCAGTTTTTATCAATTTTAGTAGTGCTTTTTAGTTTCCCCTTGCCACAAAACAGGGGTACCGAGCCTAGCCTCAAACGCGACAAAAGCAAAAATCCCACGCCTTCTCCAGGATGACCAGCGTCTCTGACAGCCGAGCCAGTGAGCCCAGTGAGCCCAGCGAGCCCAGCGAGCCCAGCGAGGCGCCGGGGGTGAAGCAGCCCCCACCCTCCAATGGAAGCACAAGTCCTGGCGAGCTGAAACTTGTTGAACTACGTTGTTTAAGCCTTTAAGCTGTTGGTTTCCTTGGTTCCATGTTTGATCCAGGTGCCTTTCTGGGTGAGCTTTCATGTCCGGCACGTGAGAAGGTGGGAAAGTAGCATACAGAAAGCGTCAGGTTCCGTAGCCATGCTTGTTGGAACCTAGAAGAATGAGAAAGGTGTTTTCAGGATTCTTCGGGGGTCCCATGTCCAGCTTGCGAATCATGTTGCATGCTTTTGCGCTATTTGATGGACGGCCAATGACATCAGCACTTTTCTGCGTCCCTGGAAGAGGTGCAGACAAATAAGGACAAGCCCACAACATATTCATAGGCCATACGTGTGCCGAAGCATAGGAGTGGGATACATATTTATGCATGTCATTGTCAACTTCTTAACCTCTCCTGCGTTACAAGCTGTGCTTCTCCGTTAAACCGCATCTACCTTGCTGTTTTCGGGTTGTTCCACCACAACATCGGACATGTGGAAAAAATCCAGTACCTTTCAGGTCAGTTGATCAGTTTCCCTCAGGTGCCAGAGCTGCCGGGCAAATCCTCTGGGGTGCAAGTGCCCTGGCAATCGAAGCAAGTGGACAGCTCTTGGTCTGGTTTTCCGCTGGTTTGTGAATAGTTGGCTGCAAGCGGTTGCCTTTTGCTTCCGGCTCCTTGGGCACGTGCCGTTTTGCAGGTTTCTCCACCCACACTTGCGAATCGCACTGGTTGGGCGCAACCGCCTCAGCAGATACTCAAGGGCAGCTGCTCATCCCCATCTAAAGGCTCGCCGGCTCGCCCTTCGAGCCTTCAAACTCAGATGGGTTTCGCAGAAAACTGCTCAGGGCAGTTCTCCGATGCGCGTGTTCCTTTGGATTAGGTTGAGCCCGGATGAAACAAAACTGGGTGATTCCGGAGGTCTGGTCAACCATGTTCAGTACATCGATTAGAGAGAGGCATGGTGACCCACCAAGTGCCCTACAATAAAAGAGAAAGAAATTGGACTCCAGTTGCCCATGCCCGCTACCGGTAAGTGCTTTTTATTCTTCCTGACTCATGGCCGTGCCTCACAGCGTTTACCTCGAGTGAAGGAGTCATACAAAGGGACCCCGTGAGCCAATTCAACGCTTTGTTTGGGTCCATGGTGACACGTCACCCACCATCCCCCGAACAAAGACAGGGAAGCTCATTCCACCCGAGAAAGTAGTGGCCGCTTGGACCCGTGCTTGTTCAGATTCGTCCTACACTTGCCCGGCGAAGCTCTTTGGAGAGGAAAGAACAGATGGATGAAGAGATGGAAGTTAGAGCCTAGCGAGAATCTCATATTTGCTTCAGAAAATGTTTTATATCCCCCTGATCTATAACTGGGTGTGTGTTTTTTTTCAGGGGACGCATCCGCAAATGGAGCGATGGATGATGTCTTGGTCCATGTTCAGTCACCTTTGACTTCTGGGTTCAAACTGGGCAACTCAACTGCAGCCACAAGTTATGCGCGAGGAAGGCTGAAGCGGCAATGGGGTTGAAAGCAAGTTAGAACCTTAGCCGCCGAATCCCCACTATACAGGTAGCATGCAAGCCGCAGTGCCACACTTTCCATTGCTTCTCGGCGATTGAAACGATGCATGCCACAAATGGCAAAAGTGCCAGAGGTTGAGCCAGCAAACTGGACCAAATTCTGCCGAGAGCTAGCCACAAGGACGTATGTTCCGCGGCAGTTCTGTCTAAGGTGGCGCCACAGAAGATATGCCCTCAGCAGTGGCCCACAAACAGCAAGCAATCACAGCCCAAGTGCAAGGAGCATGCCCCCAATCCGACCTCGATTTCCGGATGCCTCTTTGCTTTCTCCCGTGGACAAGACTTGGCCCACCGGTTTTCGCTCTTCGCCCCCGGAGATTTCGCAGACATCGCCCCGAGGCTTGGAAGCCCAGCTCCTTGTTCCTCAAGAATGCGAGGTCCAGGACTGGACCGGCACCCCCAAACGGCACCCATCAGGCGAAGCATCAAAGGTCCGCCATGATGTACGGCATGGCGAATTGCGTGTGATCTTTGCCAGCGCGCCCACAGGCATCGCAACGGGCTGCAAAATAAACATATTATATATTTATATGCACATATATATGTATAGCATTATATAATTGTATATGTAGGATCATGGAAAGAAGGCCGCAACATTGCTGGCTTGGCACATACTCTTGCTTCCAACTTCAACCCTCAGGTCGAGGCTGAAAGTGCCACAAGGTGACACCTCTTGCCCTATGCACTAGAAGCCATGCCCATGAGCGTGCCTTTTTTAAGGGAAGCGTCTTGGGTTGTTCGAAAAGAATCCCAATGAAAACCGCCCAAAACCAAAAGAATAGGGGGGGGTCCCAATTTGGAGACAAAAACACATCAGGACCACCAGCGACATCATCGTGCCGAGCATGTGGCGGGTTTGGCTGGGGACGCTCCTGCGCACAAGCAGCTGGGATGTTTTCACAGGCGCCGTGGCATGCAACCAGCGA